AAAAAATTATGATGTGGATTCCACAGGAATTACGCTTGGTCGTAACCAAACTGAATTCGGAAACAATCGTATTAAGGAATATGGTGTTGATCCTAAACAAGCTCGAATAGTTTGTATGGATTATCGTGATATTCAAAGGCGTCCAAAATATAACAAAATTACTTGCCTTGAAATGGCTGAACATGTTGGTGTTAGGCTATTTTCTTCATTCTTATATCAAGTAAGAGATATGCTTGAAGATGATGGCTTGTTCTTTTTACAGATAGCAGGTCTTCGTCGGTAAATATACAAATTTATTACATTTAGCTATGGACTTTAAAATTCTCCAATATGAATTTATCCACTTTTATTTATTTATAGCACATGGCAATATGAAGATTTAATATGGGGGTTATTTATGGCCAAATACATCTTTCCTGGCGCAGATGCTTCTTGTCCATTGGCATGGGTAATTAATCAATTAGAATGTGCAGGCTTTGAAGTTCAGAGTGTCGATACCATTGGTGTACATTATTCTGGTACCATATTTCGTTGGTATAAAAACTGGTTAAAGAATAAAGATACTATTACTACTAAATATGGAAAAAGGTATGTATTTAGTAATTTTTTATGAGACTTAAATCTTAACTTATTATCATTATCGTGTTATTTCTAGGTGGTTCCGGTATGTGTCATAACATTATTTTTTATATAATAAAATTTTTTTTTCTTGCTAACCTTCACTTTAATCTATAATAGAATTTGGGAAATCTTTTTAGCATGGTCTACTATAATTTCCCGACAAGGTAGTGCTACATGTTATCAAATTACCGCTCATAAAAATCTGAACGCATTTGATCGCGCTGCATTGATTTCTGGAAAATTTAAAGCTTAATTATTATTTATGGCATTTTGTATTTTTATTAACTTTTAAATATTTAATTATACATAGCATTGAGACTAATAAAGTTGATAATTTAAATGACCATTTTATGTTTATTTACGAAAAATATTTAATATGGCTAGTTCAAAAATTAGATATTTTAAAAAATTAATTAAAAATGTTATTATAAAATTTTTAATATATTGTTTAAAAAATTTTATTACTTTTTTTTTTCTTCTTTTTGATAATTATTATTATTATTATTTTTTTCTCTTGTTGCTTATGCAACTAGAAACGCAGGTGGTGTTCTTTTATTAAAGTATTATAAATAATCTATATACATTTTAAGTATTTACATACAAATTTAGTAGTTTTAGATTTGCTATAAGACAAGTTAAACTTTAAGAATTGTATTTTTCTAAAGATGTGATTTTTGATTAAAGAACTAATAGAATTAAGTAAAGTATTTAAGTTTCTCCATTTTAATAAGGTATAATAATACCAAATTTTATAAATTATATTGATATGTAACCAAGATACAGTTACTGATATTTGAGAGCAGTGAAAACTTGTAAGTTCAAATATTTTGTTCATTGTAATAGGCAGAATTTTTTTCTTATTAGTGTTAAGAAACTTGTATACTTCTTCCTAAATAATTTTGCTTCTTAGATATTTGATAGCAAAGTGTTTAATAGTTTGTAATTCATTAGAGCACTAGAGGCAATTCTTTGTTTCTGTTTGTTTTATATGTTTAAATTAATAATTTAAAAAGAGTATTCTATAGAAAAGATGCTAGAAGATATTTTTTTTCTTATTACATATTGACTTTAGAGTTAATCAAGTATGTAGCTTGTATAGTTTAAGGAGAAATCTGAGATAAGATAAGTAAGAACATTGATTTTTTTAAGAGCTTTAATGATTTTTTAACAGAGAGCTTATTTCTTTTAATATTTTTAGCAAAGATTTTAGATTTTTTCTCTATTTCAAAGCTAGCTAAAAGTAAAGGAAATACTTTTTTTAATTCTTGTTCAGGCTATTACATAAGGTTTTTATATCATGAATTAAGTTTTTGTATATATATTATCAGAATTTGAAACTTTTAGAGAAGTAATATTTCTTTAGCTTTGAGAATTGAGCTTATTTTGTTTATTTCATAAATTGCTAATATAGAGTTTGAAATAAGAAGCTTGATCCAAACAGAGATTAAATAAGCTTCTAATATGTTCTTAATAACTAGAGCTTGAAGTTCTGCAAGTTCTGTAAGTTGTTAAAAAGTAGAATATCTAGAAAGCATACATGAAGTGTTTTTGATTTAAAAAGGAATAATTCTGTTAATTTTAGCAATTTGTTATTTTGTTAGAAAGCAGAAAATAAGCAGAGTACTAGATTTTAGATAAAATAAATAATTTGCTATTAGAATTTTTTTTTTAAAAGAGAAATTTCTGTTTGTAAGTTTGTTAAAAGATTTTTTTAACTTATTGAAAGTTGTAAGCTATAAGTTAACCATTTATAAGAATATTATATTCTAATATAGTAATAGTATCTTGTTCTTTTAGTTTAACAAATTGCTTTTCATTAGGAAGTTCAACTCTTTAAATAATAAGAGTAATAGAAATAAGCTTTGTTTTTGTCTTGTTAATTTTAGTATTAGAAATAGCTTTATATAGGTTTAGTAAAGATTGAATCTTATTTCAGTCTATTAAGAAGCTAATTCCTATAGTTAGATCATCTGTATTGAAGAATTGATTTTTTAATTTAATATCATATAGATATTTTTCTAGAGTTCTTATAAGAGACTTAAAAGCTAATATATATAATAGTAGTAAGAGAAAATTTTTTTGTCTAACTTCTCTTTTAATTCTAAATAGTTTAGAAATATTATCTGTTTCAATAATATAAGCTTTTTAATTAAAAAAGAGATTTTGAACAAAGTTAATAAACTTAGTATCAAAGTTTATATTCTTTAAAGTAAGTTCTAAAAAGTTGTAGTTAACTTGATCAAATATTTTTTATTGATCAATAAAGAGTAACTAGTATTGTTTAAAAGAATCTACTTAATTTCTTATTGTTGTAATAATATTTAAAACAGTATCTATAATAGATCTATTTGTGATAAACTCTTATTGTTAATATAGTATAAGTATTTTATAAATAAAATTAAAACAATTAGTAATAATTTTTATAAAAATCTTAGTATTACTATTAACTAGTAATATAGGCTTCTAGTTATTAATATTTTCTAAATTCAAAGCTTTTTTTAGTATTGTTACAAGTAGTATAGACTTCTTAATATACTTCAAGTAATATAAAACATAGAAGAAGAACTTCTAATAGTGTCAAAGTAGAATATTATATTACTGTAGTAGTTCATTAGTAAAAGTTTATTTTTAAAGCCAAATTATTATATTTATTAAAGAACTAATAATAAACTTAGAACTTTATTGAGTACTATCATATTTATAATTTTCTATTTCTTTATTTTTCTTTTATTTTATTTTTAGTTTTATTATTTGATTTAGTATTTTTATAGTATATTTGTTATAGTTTTTATTTATTTTTGTTTAGTTTTTGTATTTGTTACCTATACAGAGTACTGATAGCAGTATGGATAAGTTTTATTATTAGTTTAATATAGTATTTTATTATAGTTTTATTAGTAATAGTTTTGTATAATGACTAGTTATAGTTTTTAGTTATATTACACAGAAAATTATAGAATAGTTTAGAATATTATAGAATGTCTTAGAATATTTTAGAATATCTTAGAATACTGTAGCAACCTTTAGAATTTTACAAAATATTCTAGAACCTTTTAGTATTTTCTAGATATTATTAATCAATAATTAGTAATATGTATCACCTTAACATTATATGAAGAGTACTATGAATACTATCTTTAACACTATGAATATTATAGCTAAAAATAACTATTGGTCTATTCAAACACTATAAACACCAATACAGATTACTAATTTTTAGCAGCCAAAGGTTATAAATACAGGCCTTTTTCTCTCTTGACTCGATATGATATAGAATTAAAATCCTAATAGTTTCTAAAGCAAGATAAATAATAATAATCTTTTTAAATAATAACTATCCTCTAGTTTTTAACAATAAACAATATTTTAATATCTTAAGTCTTCTTTTAAACAAACTCTTACACTTCATTTCTTTATTATTTTTCTTTATTATTTTTAGTTTCTTTAGTTTTTGTTATTGGAAATAATGTTTTCTTTTCTTTTATTTTTGATTTTATTGATTTTGGTTTTGTTTATTTACTAATAAATAAACTGATACCTTGAATAATAACTATGAAAAACTTTCTGCTATTAAAAATTTGTAGATTAATAAAGAATCGCTCGTAACAATTAATACCTTCTAGCAGAAACAAATTGTTAAAATATTAGATAATTGAATGAACACTTTCTCAGCTCATATTCTTGCAACTTGAAAATATGATCACCTACATACCTGGAACTTAAATATTATATCTGAAATATATATTGATATCTCTTATCACCTCTGTTATCCTCCTAAAGCTGCAACAAATCTTAGTAATTATATTCGATTTGAAAACTTATGGACCTAGTTTTCTGTTGAATATCCTGCTCTATACTATACATCACATACTCAGGACTACTTCCAAGCTCTCACTAATAATTTAAACTCTCAAAATACCTAAACTCTTATTGCATATCTCCTTCCAAGTATCTGTTACTTCAAGAAACCTAAGTCTTATGATCAAATCTAACAAGAAATATACACTGTTCTTATCTTAACAAATGTCCCTTTTGACGTAGCTTATAACATAAGTGAAACTGCTAACTCTCAAATAGCTGAATATCAAACTGTACAATTAAATTTATCTAATGAGAAAGAAAATTTTAGTTTAGAATTACTCTTTAATCAACAAGAACTACAACAATTACCTCTAATCAACTGCAACAAGTAAACATGACTCAACCTAATCAACAAAACTTTTAGGAACTTACTGATGCTCTTACCTAATTAATTACTGCTCTGCCTAATACTACTACTGCCTTGACTAACAATACTAATGCTATTAATAATTCTCTCAGAAGAGAGACTTGAGTAATTGATTTACTCTACTTTTACAGTAGAAATCAAAATCCTATATTTTGGCTTACTAAATTTAACAAAGCCTGTAATGCTAATAGAATTATTAATGACAACAAGCTCCAAGTTGCACCTGCATATCTTAAAAGAGCTGCTGCTATTTAGTGAACTAAAAACCAAATGTTGATTAATACTAGCTCTAATAGAATCAGACAATAGGATGATGGTAACCTGCTTATAACACTAACTTAGTTATTAACTTCTTTGCTACTTTTCATTTTCAAACCCTAGTTGAAATCTAGACTACTAAACTCGAACATCACTAACAATGCTTTGGTGAATCTGTTGATGACTATGCTGCTGCTCTCTTGGAATTATATAGAAGGTAGAGTATGGATCTTTCTAATTCTCTACTTACTTCAAAGTCTGTAAATTTGTGAATAGACTCTTATCTGAATTATATATAAATGTTAAACTCCATAATGATACTGTCTAGAATGATGCTGTTAACTGTGCCAAAAATTATGAACTAACATATCAGGATACCAATGCTATAACCTCTTACCTCAATAAATATATTGTACCTACTTAACAAAATAATCAAATGAATCTACTTACCCAAATTCTACAGGTCTTAACTCAACAGTTACAACAAATGAATACTGGACCTCACTATAACCCTAGGAATAATAATAATTATCAACAACCTTAGGCTAATCAACCTCAACCTTACCAACCTGAACCTTGACCTCAACAGCTAAATAATTTTGTTTGCTATTAATATGGACAACCAGGACATACTCATAGGACCTGTCCTCAAGTTCAAAATATGAACTATCAAAATATTATA